CTATCTTTCCTGGTTTGTCTCTGATTCAATCTTCTTTTCTATATCGTTTAATAGCCTCCTATACGGTTATTAGAAAAATCCCAAAGAATTTCATAACGCCCTTCCACTTCTCGCGCGTCAATGATTACGAGTGGCATTGAATGAGCCTCCTCCGTCTGAAAGATAATGGGAGTTCCACATCAGCAACCATGCATATTGCAAGGAAACCTCCTTATGCAACTAATTAATAACAGGTAATGTGAATTTGATGAATTATTTCTACCTTAAAAATTACTGAACTTTGGCGCAAATAATTTTGGGACACCCTGTACAACTTACTGCGCAGAACTTCCTTTTTCGATGCCCTCGACTGAAGGATTGAGCGATTCTTTGGTGGGGTGTTCCTCCATTGGCAGTGACTCGATAAAACCTCCCCAAACCTATTTTTCGAGTGGATGAATTGCCCAAGGGGCTGAAAAGGGGAAAGCAGAAATACAGTTGGAGTCCCGAAGCCTAAGTTTTGCTCACACCTCGGCAACCTTGTATTGCTGTATCAGAACTTTCTTGAATTGCTTCTTACTGGAGTAAATAATATCCGTTCAGGTCCAATGATTAAATGATCAGATGAAGTGGCCTTCGCGAGTATTCTCCCACTTAAATTTATTTGAGCTGCTTGAGAGCTCCACTTGGGGCTTGGGGTATAACACAATGTGCTGAACAATTTAACTTCAGGCAAATGCTGTGGTCAGTTGGGATTCAACAGACTTCACTGGTGCTCATATGCACTTTCGTTCTCGCCTCCTTAGCGTTCTATCCTTATGCTAAGGATTTCTGCTGTCTTTGTCGCCTTGTTGCATACGCAGCACAGAGACGATTCTTCAAAGGCAACCAGGACCTTATTCTTACTTTCACCGCTCTCTACATCTATATGAGTGTAGTCTTGGTAAGTTGATAGTTTTTAGAGTGGTCCACATAAAAAATTAGATATCAAAGGAAGTTCCACGGCTCTGTTACGCAGCGGTGCTTGTCAAGGTTGGCTACCCCTAAAAATTAAATCAAGATAAATTTAGAAACCTTCATACCTACCTCGTTCACGTTGAACAGAACCTTTTATGGATTTTTTTCAAAATTTTATGAGACAACAAATGTCGCAAGAAAACCAAAGAGAGGTCAACAATATAAATCAACTTTCCCTCTTTGAGAGCTAATGCCTGATGCCTTTCGTCACGCAATCGGTAGCTTGTGGCTGAGACTATTTAAAGTTTTTCATTTTGAAGACTAGGTTTCAAAGAGAGTTGTCGTTGAGTGATTCAAACATTTCAGGTGGAATTCTTGGATATTTCTGCCGGCATCTACTGCCCGCAGTTCTTATTCGGACTGCCGCTTATCTTTCCCAATATCAATTTTCCTATGATACTCTATGTTGGACACTCTTTCGTGATCCGGATCCATAAGAAAATGCCCTTGATCATTTATGAGGTGAGTTCATTGCAACTCAGCATCTTACCCAAATTTGATACTCAGTTATCAATAAAAATGGAATAAACATATTGGAGAATAGCTATGAGAGACAGCCTCACTCGGCAGACATAAGGATGTAGCGATGGGGCTGCTGTTGGACACGAGTGGGTGAAAAAGTAAACACAGTCATGCAAACAGGCCCTGTTCGGCTAAAGATGAAAAAGTAGGAACTGGATGGTATGGGCACGTCCTGAGAAGGCCATGGGGTAACTCGCCGAGGAAAGCAGTAAAATTCGAAGCTCTAGATAGTCGGCCTAGTAGAGCCCCCAAGAAATAGGTGACAAGATGTGTTCAAGAAGAGCCTCACCGAAATTAGGATGACAGATGAAGATGCTGTAGAGAGAGTGAAGTGGAGGTGGACAGCAAGACAGCGGAACCTGTGATGACGTTCTGCCCCCTAGCGTGAATCCCTGCGACGGATTCATGCTAGAAAGGAGAACGAGAAAAACCCCATTGGAAAAGAGGAGGAATGACTGAAGCATTGGTTTTGCCAACATTACGCTGATGCCCTGAAGATAAAGTTCACACAGGACCTCTGTCATTGATAAATTCGTAGACAGTTTCGATATCAGTAATCAGCATTTTGGTTCAGGTCGTCGAAGAGGACTGCTTCGTCCAACTACATCGAATGCGGTGTATTCATCAGAAAGATTGTCCTGAATTGTAAGTGGTACACAGTTCTGTCCAATACTTGTTTCAATTGATGTGATGTTTAAGTTCTTATGCAACTCGCTTATCTATCAAACCTTCGGTCGCCACAACAAAACATAGGCGAGCCATGGATGGAAGGATAGTCCAGGTATGGATCAGCTATTGTTGAGCAGACTGGCATATATGTATTTGACGAAGAAAGAACGTGATTTTGAATTTTCATTGTCATGTAGCTAACATAGTTTGGGTGGGTTCTCGAAAGACTGAGTGATATAAAGAGCGATAGATTCCATAAAGAAAAGTCCTTCGATCACAGTGAAACAATGAAGCGTCATTCTTCCATGACTTTCTCATTCTTACCAACTTTGCCAACCCTTTTCTTCAATTTCTAGCTTTTCGCAAGTTATTTTGTGACAAATGAGAGTATTTCGATCTCATGCGCTGGATCGACTAACCTCATGCAACTCAATCCACCTCATCCCTCAGAAACGAACAAAATGGCCATCTCGTTCTCTCTTTAGTGCATATGTACATGGTTGTCCTACATTGCCCTTACATTCATTCTAGACTAATGAATCAATTTCAGGTACGGAATCTCCAGGAACTAAACACTATACTTCCGTGTGCGATCAGTGGAAATCGCCCGTAACGATTGAGTGTACTATGTACATTTTTAGAAGGACCTTAATCATGTTTTACTATTGTAGTTGATCAGAATTCCTACCTATTCTTCGATGTCTTACAAGGTTCCCACCGCTTTCACCCTTCTCATTGTTGTATTTTTCTCACTTTAAGATTGTGAAGTGCCTTTGGTAAAGAAGACGAGAAGTCTTCAAAGCATTTGTACATAATAAAAATGTCAATAATTTAAAATCTGTGTTATTTATGTTATTCACCTATAAGAATCTCCAGAGTTTTTAGCCATGTTCAATCTAGGGTCACGTCGTCATTTCCTCCTTTCCCCGTTCATTCCGATATATCGTGCCTCAGGGGAGTCAGATCAGCAACTCTATGCGGTTTCTCTGTCATAATCAGGGAATGGTTTTCAAGTGTTTGCTGGCATTATCGAGATCTCATGCTCACAATCTGATCTATTTGAAGATGTAGTCATGGGAGAAACATGAGCATGTTGATGGTGGGGCTGACCCGCTTCACTTCAACGTACCACCTTGTTGCTTTACACGAGAAATACAAAAACTCATTAATGAATAAACCGCCTATTTTCAAATAAGTTGTAGCCTTTGATTTCAGGATATTTTCTCAAAAAGCTGTCTTCTTGAATGGTTGAGCTTCTTCAGCATTCTTTAAAATTCTCTTCCGCCACATAGCGATTGCAGCTGGTACTTGGAGCAATTGGTAGTTGGTGCGTTCAGTGTATGCCTATAATTCGAACGATTGCCGTTCAGTTTCATCGGGTGATTATGGTCATTGTAGTTTGATGCAGCGAGGCATTGACAAAGATTTGCCGCGTGTAGAGACACGCGTTCGTGGGAACTCGGTCAAAACTTGCGCTACCCTGGGAACGCGGGAAGGATGAAATTTTCAAACTGCACGTTTCCTTGGATTCCGTTTACAGGTGGAAAGGCGAAATGCTCCAACAATTTTCTTGTATTAACATGTGTTGACACGATGAAGTTTTTCATGGATCAATGGATAGTCAGCCCCACTACTTCATCCCTACCGGTCATTTCTTCTCCTTCGAGTCATTTCCCTTCATTCACGCTTTATTCCCAATCCGACTACTTTTCATTCTTTTGCTTTCGGATATGATTGTTTTTCAATGGCTATACATATATGAGTTGTCCATTGAAAATGTTACTGGGGAAAGGCCGCCACTCTTTCCCAAACCAACAGCGCAAAAGAAGGAGGGGTAGCCGACCTCGCCAGCTCCTAATGGTGCTTAGAAACGTTTCATAGCCAAAAATATAGTTCTTTCAACCTTAGCCCTAGGAAGGAAGGAGCATCGGGATGGGCCACCCCAGAGCTGCTCCCCATCTACAGGCGTATTCTTTTGAACAATATTCTTTCGGCTGAAAACCATCTCTAAACACAATTTAGGTTGACTACCCCTTCTTCTTTGCGATGACAAGGTTCGCTACAACTCAGGGCTCAGCAGATACGTTGTGCCCATAGTTTGAGCCTTGGCACTTTGATTTTTTCGGAGTGGGGAGAAATTGTAGGTCTTTGGCAAGAAGTAATAACGCATGACAAGGATAATGAAAGGCCATAGCAGTTAACAGCTGGTGGCTCAGTATTCGGCACCATCACGATCATAACCATAAATGCACTCTCCATACTGCCATGAGTTCCAAGAAGTACGTGTATCGTAATGACACATTAAAAGAATTGGATATCGCATACCATTATAGTACAGTACTGACTAGCACCTTGTAGTACTAGTGTAGTATTTTATGTATTCTTTATGCCACAAAACAGAATGTTTTTCTCATTCTGTTCCCAGTGCTTATATCTCTAGAACTTGACGGCGATTTGAGCCAGTTGACTTTCGAAAGTCTGCTGATTTGATAGTTAGATTCCCAGTACAGAGAAAATGCTCACCAATGTGTCGTTCGATTCCAGTTGTCCTTCGTTTTGATTATATGCTTACCTATTTAATCGACGGCATCACGAATAAATCAAGTGGATTAAGCTCTAGCATGAAGGGCAATCTTCCCCCGGTGGATGAAGTTGGGCAGCTCGGGTCGGGACTCTGCGGGCTGGAGTGTTGTTCAGCTGGAAGGACTAGGGATTGTCTAATGAACGAAATCGGTTGGAGGGTTCATTACGTCTGTCAGTATGCTTTTTAAGAACACGTCTTTGTCAATTTCCAAGCCGGTACTGATGAAACCAACGACATTTATTCGTCACTCTTTCCCTAAAATATTATTTTGTTGTTCTTTCAACACCAATTTCATGATAGATGGTAATTCCTATGTTTCTGACCAGAACGCGAGCGCCCTGATTGTTAAGGATTGACACTATCATAGACCTTTTCTTTCAGATGAAACCATGAAGGGAGGCATGTCTAGACATAAGCGATTCAGCGGCTTTCTTTATTTTTGACCCTAAACTGTTTGCTGGGATGATAGAAGAAGTGACCTTTCCTCATACGATAGGAATGGATATAAAGCTTCTGCTCGACAGTCCGCCCGATCGGCAAATTCGACAGCCCACTTTTGTTACGATCTTTTTAATGTAGTAATTATGGTTAGGNATTGTTAAGGATTGACTATATCATAGAACTTTTATTTCAGATGAAACCATGAAGGGAGGCATGTCTAGACATAAGCGATTCAGCTGCTTTCTTTATTTTTGACCCTAAACTGTTTGCTGGGATGATAGAAGAAGTGACCTTCCCTCATACGACAGGAATGGAAGCTTCTGCTTGACAGTCCGCCCGATCGACAAATTCGATATTCCACTTTTGTTACGATCCTTTTAATGTAGTAATTTGTAGGTTTGACTCGCGTAGAATTGACACATTGGCTCGCCTACGGACCTCTATCATAGCCTCATCTTCGACAACAATGGGCTTTTTTCTACATTTTCCAGGGTTGTCTTCGATTGATCATGCTTCTCTGCATCTTTTAATGGCCTCTGTAAAGTCATCATCGAAACCACAAGAAATTTCTTCGTCGTCCTTCCGCCATTTGCATGTGTATTATCGCAAGCGGCGTTGAATGAGCCATCTCCACCTCAGAGATATTAGAAGTCTCGCTATAGTGACTATGCATATTGAAAGAAAACAGACTGGTGCAATAAGTGATAACGAATGAAGTAAAATTATTTGGGTATTTCTGTCTCGGGAATTCTCGAAATTTTTGTGCCCATAGTTTTGGAAAGCTCTGCACATACGAAACTGCATTGCTGCCTAGAGAATCGCTCCGAGTAGCAGTTTCTCATTGGCAGGCCTGAATTTGAATTTTCGGGATAAAAATATCTAACAATCGAGAAATTATTTTTCGATTCCTTGCATAATTCAACGCCTCCAAGACGTCCTTCCTGGCGATGCCCCCCACCAAATGATTGATTGCAATAATGCCTGCATTACAATACAAGCCTGAATCCATAAAATGCTTTCAGCTAGATGGCCTGGTAGACATCGCTTTCGGCAAATAGCTGGACGTTTGCTTGCTTTCCTTTGCAAAATATTTCAATTGTATCATCGAAATTTCCCATTGGTCTATTTCTATATCGTATTTCATTATGGGACTGTTTCAATGTTTGCAGCGGCGTAGTGAATCCGTATGTGACCCATACGATGACTTGCGGTGGCTGGCCAATGCATAAGTTAGTGCTTTCGTCCTTCCAGACGAGTCCGGTACCAACTGATCGACCCCAGAGGGATTGTAGGCTTGGTTGGCCCAGGCGGACATAAGTCCAGGATTCGAACCCGCAACCATGCGTGTGTGGTACTGCGCCACTTGCCACTACACAGCTTCCTCGCAGAACAAGTATGCTAGATTTTCTAGTATAATCATTGAATTGGAAAGCGGACATAAGTTCCGATCCAATAATAGAGTAATCCCTCAGGACGTTCCATTTCTTCAGCCCAATTCCTGTAGCTGTAGAGGTGCAGTGAGCAGAACCTGCATTTTGCAACTTTGCAAACTGCAGGTTTTCCTCGAAGCCGGCTGTCCGTAGAAAAAGTCAGTTCGGTATCAGATTGCTCACAACAATAAAATCCTCTGAATTACCTCCGATTTGCAGCCGGATGAATGTGCTGCTCATTCTGGCCAAAGTAAAAAGTGTCCGTCCCAAAAATTCACATTAAGCGGAGCCTTTTCGTTCACCCCGAAATAAAAAATTTTCCTAGTACTCATGAGAACTTCCACCTCGCAAGCACTTTACCCTTTCACCACGAAATACTTGGAAAAGTGCTTTGTCCTCGGAAAGCAGCCTCTTCAGATGAAGCTTCTCGAGAAGATGGCTCAATAGAGTTGGTATTAAGCATTTAAGAACATATCAACGTGAAGGTAAGAAGCGCACAGATGATCGTTTCTTGAACGATTTTGACCACTTTCTGAATGACAGTGTGTACAAAAATTCCTGTCGTTCTTCAATCTGCCACAGAATGCCTTTTTACCTGTGGTTCTAATCTAATGCATGACAAGCGTTGAAGCTCTTGGAAATCGTGAGCCATAGTTCTCAACCCTCCTTCCTACTCTGAGAGTCAGGAGTTTCAATGGTCGCCGAAATTGACCCCAGCAAACTCCATCGTCAAAATGACATTAACCTCTATTGCCTTCATTGCAACTTCGCATTAACGACTGCTCCACTTCAAAGCCCCTAATTTCGGTGTGATGTCGGTGAATCACGGGTGGGATAAATGTCTCACAGGTGGATGGCTAAGTCAGATTATGGATCTGGTCGGGGAGATAATCACCTGATTTTGGAGCTTGTCAGTGCTCATTATCACGCAATTTGACTCTCGAGAAGGTGATTAAAAAAGATTACGAGCACAGGCGACCGTCCTTTTAGCAAAGCCGGTTGAGTATTTGTCTGCGGCCATTGTTGTGAAGAAGCACCTCATGAAAATGCATTCTCAAAGGGCAAGTGTGGTTTCCATTGGATACTCGTTTCAAAGAACTTCCAAGAAAAAGTTGAACCCCTTCGCAGCGGCATTTCAAACACAATTCCATTAGACAT